ATCTAACCAAACTGGAAATCTCTACAGTCGATCCGAATTCGACCATACTTCATCTGGCATATCGATCTGGCGAGATACAATGAATGCCATAATACAACGTAAAAAGTGTTGTGTGTGTTTGCAGACATGCCTGTAGCCACACTAGGCATTGTTTCCTCATCAGGTCCAACCTCCGTTCGGGTCCGTGAGAGATCTATTAGCTCCTCCAGACTGGATCCCAATGAGCGGTCAGCTTTCGACAGCTGCCCACCGCCTGTACAGAGAGGTGTTCAAGGGTGTTCACTGGTCAGAGAGCTCTGGGCTCATTTGGACCGATAATCAAAGAGGCAAGAACTCGATCCTGTGACAAGCAAGGCGCAAGGAGGCTCGTTCTAGCCTTTGGGGACCGATCGATTATAGGCCAATGCGCTGTCTATTGCAGGGTCTAGATCCACTGGCGTTCGCGTCGACGGGCGGCTAACACTCCTCGGACTCTATACGCAATGCACTTCGCTGTCAGTGCAGGTCCGGTCGTCTGGACAGTAGCTGAGGTCAACTAAGACATCAGTACGTATGACCGTGTTGACCGCAACTTGGTACGTCTCTATTCGGAACACTTGGTCTCCTACCATCTCCATATCGCCTAGATCATCCCCGGCGATTTCTTCGTCTTTTACATTGGAATAAATTATGGCTAACGGGTTTTTTCCCCTTTGGGACAATAGGGCTTCTAGTTCGACACGGCTTTAGAGACGGCCCACTTCGGAATTCAACACGGGGGTATCATTCGCCCAGTTTCAAAAACTACGTACAATCAAACACGACTATTTACTTCCGTCATGTCTTTCATCTATGATTTCAGTGTCTGTCCATCGTCCGTTGAAAGAGAGAGAGAATGAGAGAGAAAACGGAAGGAAGTAGCCGAGTGTCCAAGTCGTCACAAGAATCCAATAGGAAGAGAGAGAAATCGCAGGGGAAAACCTCCACTGAGTCGAAATATGCTATAGGGGGGGGGGGAGAGAAGGGGATGAGGTGAGTGCGTAAAAGTGTGGGAGAGATAGCGAGATGGGTAGGTCGAATATCCGGTCGGAAATCATGCTGATAGCTGGGCAATAATCTGAGCGAAAAATAATGCACCCTCACTGTCGCGTCCGCTGACGACTACTTTCCACTGATAGGCTCGCTGTATCCACTGTAGCGCATGCTGTGTGTACGTCTCACCGGCAGACGACCGTCTCTGCATTAACCGACCATTCGGTCCAGTGGTGGGAACGTTTACTGCTGCTGTCGTCATCACCATGGCTATCGCATTTCGCCCACTCTCCTCAGAGCTACGAAGGAGCATACAGAACTGATACGCTTCAAATGCAAACGAGTCCTGATATAGATTCAACCCCTCGGCATGCAATGTTTGCAGAGCTTGTGTCGCCTGTAGTAGGATGGTGGTTTTTTTTTTGGGTCGGGCGCCAATGGCAAGGGTCCGAATTGAATATAGGAGGTAACCGGGAACCGAATATGGGAGATGGCGAGTTATGTGGGTGGTTTCGTCAGTCAGATGCCATTTACACGATCCAGGGCA